TCCGAACGTTTGCCGGACGGACGGACGGACGGACGGACACAACTCGATGACATAGTGGCTTCGCCTCTTCGAGGCAGTAGCCACAAAAAAACCGTATTACACGGTTTGGAATTCCGTATTACACGTTTTAATAGCCAGTTTAGTGCTCACGTGTACACATCGCGAGCGAGCTAGTTTGTTTTGCTGGAAAAAAATGGACGACGACGCTTTTAAAATCCTGATATGTGACATTTTTTCGGATGAAGACCTTCCAAATTTCACACTTGATGAAAAATTAACGAGAACACAGAACCACAACCACAATAGCAGCCAACAAAATTGGATGCTGGCGAGATGGATAAATTTATACAAGAAAACACTGAACACAGTGAAAAAGACGGCGTTTGACCTCAATATTTTCCAGAGATGGCGTCTCGACGTTGCCAAAGACTCAAAAGAACAGCAAAGAAGAATGTCGCTGATCATCAGCAAACGAAGTGAAGGAAACCATCGCACCCAGTGCTGGCCGTTGCCTTTGCAAATTTCTAATCCACCAAGTAGCTCAATTGCTCCTAGTTCAGTGCTTCCTGGTGCAATGTTCAATAACTGTACAATAACATTTAACTATCCAACAATGCTACAACAAGAAGAAATAGATCAACAGCCTTTCAAGCGACCAAAAACCAAGCATGTCCAAGAGTGATGAAGCCAACACCAGATTCCACGAGGCAGAAAAAAATCAAACTTTACGCTTCATTTTGGCTGTTTTATCTTTTCGAACGTCGCTTTCGTTTTTCACTTGCCATTAGGAATATTTCCCTTCAGTTTTGACAGTTTAGGCAATCAATTTGTAATCGCTTCATCATATTTTATGGAAGTTTTGAGAACATAATTAAACTTGTTGTTTGACAAAATTTCAAAAACTAACAACCCTTTTTTCCCTACCAAACATTTGAAGGGTTTTTCTCACGAGAGCCAATAGAAAAACAAAACATTTTACGAGAACCAATCAGGTTGAAGAAATGGTCATTTGTTTGTTTTTTTTTTTTCGCGAGCGCGAGCGAAGGTCGCTCGTCGTCCTGAAAAACTTTGTAAAAAGCTAAATAAAGGTTATTTTCTTTTTCATTTTTGGTCGTATAAATAAATAATTTATTACACAGAAAGTATTGTGTAATACGGGTGTGCATTTTTACTCGTCAAAATACTAAAATGACTCGTAAAAATACACACCCGTACTACACAACTTTCTGTGTAATAACCTCTTCATATACGATTGTTTGCTAAACAACACACACCTGAATTCTTGAAGAACACTTCTTGATCCATCTTTAACTAAATGAATGTTTTTTAAAAGTTGTTTTTGGTCTATATCTTGTCCTATAGCGATTTTCTTCTGTGCATTTGAGAGTCGCATTTGAGAGAAGTTTTGCTTTGACATCAAGCGGGATTCTTGTGTTGTGTACGCGGATGGACGGACGGCAGGGGGGTTGGACACAGCGCGCGAAGCTTCACGATAGCTAAAATTGGCTAATCAGAGCCCTGTATTTTGAGAAAGGGAAATGCAAAAATGGCGGAGAGAAATGAAAAGGCAAGTGATAGATTTCTTAGACTTTGTAGTATTTATTTGTATGCTTTTGGAATGAAATCTTGTAGGATTAAAGTGCATGTCATATTGAAGGTGTTATAAAAGTTTGACTTCA